GGGAATGGCTGGGGTCGTCTGCTTTTTGTACATCACCTGAAACATGAACTGACATGAATCTGGAATCTTTGGTTCCCCTCGATGTAGTGACTATACAGTTGTACCAGGTGGATCCAGCTTTTGGGTTGGTCACGGTGAGAGCCTTTCCTGTCTCGCCCGTTAAGATGTGGGCACCTTCAAACCACTGGTAGCTGACCGACGTGGTCTTCAAGGAGACACTTCCACACCCCAGGGTGGCGGGCACGCCGGCTACCCAATACTTCGGTCCGCGTATGCCGTGCATAACGATATCTGAAGAAAGAGAAGAAATGTGAGGCATCATGGATAAATCAGGCGCTGGTCAAAATAATGAAATCAAAGAAATCAGCATTTTGTTGGCCTGTGGGCCATTTTTTCTAATTTTCTTTTCTTTTTTTTTTTTTTGGCTCAACACCTTTTGTGTCCGTTTAAAAACACATTTTTGTGGGAATTTTACTGTAAAACATTGAGTAAAGGTACAAAAAAAGTAAATTTTCAGTTTCCAATGACTCTCAGGCTATCGAAGTTACCAAACTTTGGCAGCCATTGTTCTCGCTAATTTTGCCTCTGAAACCAGGCGACCCTGACCTACTTAAATCGCAAATATTTCGACTTCTATTTAACATAGATCGATACATTTTCCACAAAAAAGGAATGCAAATGAATAGGCTGTACGGTGATACCAATAACCCCATATGCTCAAAAATTGACGAGCGCCTGATTCCAGCACACCCTGACACAAATGTAAAACGTGCTGACAAAATGAGTTACTTCTCACAATCCACAATTAAAGGAGATATTGGCCAAAAATCGACACTATAGGGTTAAATTTTGTAGATTTTCCATTGATATCATATTCTTTAACTATTACATGCCTATATTATTTCATATTTATAAATTGTAAAAACTTCACCTATAAGCGTGATGTAGTGATTTCCATAGGTCTCGAATCTGAGAAGTAACTCATATAGTCAGCACACTTCACACATGTGCTCATTTTTTAGCTTATTTTATGGAAATGAAGAACAGGGAAGAGATCCAGAGGTAGACCAGAAGGAAAATGGCACGGCGATATCAAAGACAGGATTGAGGGAACTTGGACACAGAAAAAACAGGTGATAGAACAGAGTGGAGGTCGTTGTTGAAGGGATACATCCTGCAGTAGATGGACAACGCCTAGAAAGAACGGTTGGGGGGGGGGGAGGGGAAAAAGTCAATTTACGATCCGCTTAGGAAGTTAAGGAAGCAGGTGGTTGGCGGGTGTTCTTGTGTAGTTTGCTCCTACCTCCCTGTTAAACATGTTTCATCCTTATCATCTGTCTTCCATCCTTTCTCTGTAAGTCATTATCTAACAACACCTTTTGTAATGTATGACTGATCTTATAAAATGTAAAAATGGGAATGAACTATTTTGCGAAAGTTGAAATAACGATTCTTTGATATTACAATTATTTCCCCTCCTTGATACGTCATATTTTGTCTCGTTTTGAATTGACACGAGATTTCAGTGTAAAAGTAAAAGAACACTTTACTCCAGAAAAGGAAATTACCCAGTCATAGCAGAGGCTGAAAAGAAGCAAAATATACTGCAAGTCTGTTCGTGATTCTGTAGTTACATGTACATATGGCCACTTTTAAGGACAAGTGGGCTAACCCTGATTTCGGGGGTTTCCAGAAATCTTGACCTACACCAAAAGTGGGCATTGGTCTACCTATAGGAGAAGTTTGGTTTCATTGGTGTATATATTTGTTTGGTTGTAAAGAAAACTCTCCTTGTCTTTTAAAGAAACTGTACAAGGGTCCGAAAATTTTAACTTCGATTTTCTCAAAACAGCATTTTTTGGGATGACCCCTTTGTGCTTAAAACGACCGTATAGAAAACTACTAGAATTATTCTTTTTTATATTTAAAAGTAATGTAGATCTCACGAAATACTCTCGTGTCGTCTAAGTTTTGAGAGCTTGAGTATTATGACTGATTTCACCCTATTTTCTCTTGTTCTGGCCAGTTAGGTTTTGGGTTTTTTTATAGTAGAGGTTTTTACCGTGCTTGCAACAGCATAAGGTCATATGAGTGCCAAGGGGTGGATGTCAACAGGGAAGTCTTGACAGGGAATCAGACTTATTCTGCTCACCTCTTTAGCTTCAACAGCACAATCTGTTTCAACTATCAAGGCACCCCGGAAATAGCGGGTCACAAGAGTGTGACAAACATACAAAAGAAGAAGAGGGAAAATGACGATAGTAAGGATTAGGAAAGAAAAAGCAGCAGTTCCCTGTTGTAGTTCAGGAACAGAGTTATGAGCATGACATTGTTGGATCAGCTCATTTAAAATTCTACCCTGCATTATAGAACAAGAAATGTCCCCCCTTTTGAGAAAGGCCTAAAGGTATGCATTGTACACACACATTAAAAGCCCATCATTGGAGAAGAGGAAATTGAAAGAAGAACACAAAACACACACAGTGAAAGCATATCATTGAAGGAGAAGAAATTAACAAAACAGTTGACAACACACACAGCGAAAGCACATCTTTGAGGAAGAGAAAGAAATTGACAATACAATACAAAACACACTCAGTGAAAACACATTTTTGAAGAAGAAAAAGAAATTGACAACAGAATACACAATAGGCAATTAAAAACACATCTTTGAGGAAGAAAAAAAATGACAAAACAATACAAAATTCAAACAATAAGAGCACATCATTGAAGAAGAAGGGGGAAATGGCCAAAATAGGACAAAACACGTAGTTACACCACAATCATTTTGATGTGAATGGGCCGACAAGAGGAGCTACTTCTCAGAATCGAGCCCTATGGAAATCGCTACACCACGCTATAGGTGAAGTTTTCACAATTTATAAGTATGAAATAATATAAGGCATGTTATACTTAATGAATGTGACGTCAATGGAAAATCTACAACTGTGACCCTATTGTCGATTTTTGGCCAATATCTCCGTTTGTGGATTGTGAGAAGTAACTCATTTTGTCAGCACGCCTCACATCTACTCTTCCACCAACCTTTTCCCTGAACTGGTACCGACCTCGCACTCTCCACTTCTGTACCATTAAACAAACATGCGCACTTATAAGCTGAGGAAAAAACAAAATAATAAT